AATCACACGATTGCAGCAGTAGGTTTGTTAACAACAATCACACGACTGCAGCAGTAGGTTTGTTAACAATCACACGACTGCAGCAGTAGGTTTGTTAACAATCACACGATTGCAGCAGTAGGTTTGTTAACAACAATCACACGATTGCAGCAGTAGGTTTGTTAACAACAATCACACGATTGCAGCAGTAGGTTTGTTAACAACAATCACACGACTGCAGAAGTAGGTTCGTAACTAACTACAAGATGTAAGCAGTAGCTTCATTAAATAATATCAGTACGTAAGAAATAATGTCTTAACAGCTAATGTAATAAAATAGAACCAAATAATTTTAAGTAATATTAAATTTATTTTATTATTATTATTATTGTTATTATTATTATTATTATTATTATTATTATTATTATTATTATATTAGTAGTAGTAGTAGTAGTAGTAGTAGTAGTAGTAGTAGTAGCAGTAGTAGTAGTAGTAGTGATATTTAATCAGGACGAGTAGGAAAATTTATTATATGTTTTAGTCACATGGCGACCCCAATCCATGGAGCTTATAAAATGACGACCATACTCCATGGAGCTTGTCATATGACGACCTCACACCATGGAGCTTGTTATATGACGACCCCACACCATGGAGCTTGTTATATGACGACCCCACACCATGGAACTTGTTATATGACGACCTCACACCATGGAGCTTGTTATATGACGACCCCACACCATGGAGCTTGTTATATGACGACCCCACACCATGGAGCTTGTTATATGACGACCTCACACCATGGAACTTGTTATATGACGACCCCACACCATGGAGCTTGTTATATGACGACCCCACACCATGGAGCTTGTTATATGACGACCTCACACCATGGAACTTGTTATATGACGACCCCACACCATGGAGCTTATGACGACCCCACACCATGGAACTTGTTATATGACGACCCCACACCATGGAGCTTGTTATGACGACCCCACACCATGGAGCTTGTTATATGACGACCCCACACCATGGAGCTTGTTATATGACGACCTCACACCATGGAACTTGTTATATGACGACCCCACACCATGGAACTTGTTATATGACGACCCCACACCATGGAATTTATATGACGACCCCACACCATGGAGCTTGTTATATGACGACCCCACACCATGGAGCTTGTTATGACGACCTCACACCATGGAGCTTGTTATGACGACCCCACACCATGGAACTTGTTATATGACGACCCCACACCATGGAATTTATATGACGACCCCACACCATGGAGCTTGTTATATGACGATCTCACACCATGGAGCTTGTTATATGACGACCTCACACCATGGAACTTGTTATATGTCAACCCCACACCATGGAACTTGTTATATGACGACCCCACACCATGGAACTTGTTATATGACGACCTCATACCATGGAACTTGTTACATGACGACCCCACACCATGGAGCTTGTTATATGGCGACCCCACACCATGGGGCTTGTTATATGGCGACCCCACACCATGGAGCTTGTTATATGGCGACCCCACACCATGGAGCTTGTTATATGGCGACCCCACACCATGGAGCTTGTTATATGGCGACTCCACACCATGGAGCTTGTTATATGGCGACCCCACACCATGGAGCTTGTTATATGGCGACTCCACACCATGGAGTCTAGGAGTGACTCGCCATGAGACCGAACCTCGCTCTGTTCACTAAGTCATTAGTATTGTATATTCAGTACTGTACTCTTAATATGGTGTCGTGCTGGTACGTGTTATGTATATCACTGAGATGCACGTGGTATTCATGGAGACGTGCTGGTACGTGCTATGTACATCACTGAGATGCACGTGGTATTCATGGAGACGTGCTGGTACGTGCTATGTATATCACTGAGATGCACGTGGTATTCATGGTGACATGCTGGTACGTGCTATGTATATCATGAGCTGCACGTGGTATTCAGTGCACTGTCCCAATACAGCCTAATAAAAATGCAGATCTTTGGTTTAGAAATATATGCAACTTTGCAGTGAAGAGACCAGACAGAAAGGCAGGAAGGGCGTAGTGACAGGTCGGAGACTCCAACCTTTACTTATCCATGTGCTGAATGAACCTGTGCGTTTTATCTCTAATAAAAATAATAATTAGTTTTCCGATGGCAACCAAAGATGTGGAAGAAAACAAAACTAAAACTCCCAGATAGTGTTAAATTTAGAATTGAAATGCTCTTTGTCATTGTGGATTAAATCTTTATTGTCCGTCTCATTTACAAATCATAAAGAGATTATCTGAGCTATAAAATAAAGCATTATTGGATGTGGCATGCTGGAAAATGGAATGTTCAATGACTTGTTGTATTGCTCGTGGGAGGAACTGCGTTGTATGACCCTTGTAGGTTTAGTGCTTCGTTTTGAATATATTAATTGTGGGAGGAAAGAACGAACTTGATCGAACCTGAATGCCTGACAGGCTTTATATAGCCTCTACTTGTTTAGCGCTTCCCGGGCATTAAAATTAAAAAATGTGGTAGCGAATTATTTTTATATTCAAAACCATTAAAAAATTCCAGCGATGGAATTCTGTCATCGTTGCCTTCAATGAGAAGCACAAAAATCGTAAGGGTCATACAATACCTGGGAGAATGGGAAGTAATCAGTTTGATACAAGGAAAAGGTGGGTAGTTGCATGTCCTTGGACCAAGAATTCTTCACCAGAATCAAGTGGGAAGGATGGAGTGTAGCAAGAGAGGAATGAGGCAGAACACGTGTATAGACTCAGACAAGACTTTGCAAGAAGGTAAAAGATACTGAAAGTGAAAGTGGCAGAGATAAGTGACAACACAACCGAGGCATAGAGGGAAGAACAAGGTAATTATGGGAAAGGTGGGAAGACTGCATGACCGAGATACTGAATAGTGGAGACGGTGGTGATGATAGTGGAGACGGTGGTGATAATAGTGGAGATGGTGGTGATAGTGGAGACGGTGGTGATAATAGTGGAGACGGTGGTGATAATAGTGGAGACGGTGGTGATAATAGTGGAGACGGTGGTGATAATAGTGGAGATGGTGGTGATAATAATGGAGACACTGGTGATAGTAGTGGAGACGGTGGTGATAATAGTGGAGATGGTGGTGATAATAGTGGAGACACTGGTGATAATAGTGGAGACGGTGGTGATAATAGTGGAGACGGTGGTGATAATAGTGGAGACGGTGGTGATAATAGTGGAGACGGTGTGTGGATGATAGTGTGGAGACGGTGGTGATAATAGTGGAGACGGTGGTGATAATAGTGGAGACGGTGGTGATAATAGTGGAGACGGTGGTGATAATAGTGGAGACGGTGGTGATAGTAGTGGAGACGGTGGTATGTAGTAGTGGAGACGGTGGTGATAATAGTGGAGACGGTGGTGATAATAGTGGAGACGGTGGTGATAATAGTGGAGACACTGGTGATAGTAGTGGAGACGGTGGTTGATAATAGTGGAGACCCGTGGTGATATAGTGGAGACGGTGTGATAATAGTGGAGACACTGGTGATAGTAGTGGAGACGGTGGTTTATAATAGTGGAGAAAGGGTGGTGGGGTTGATAATAGTGGGACGGGGTGTGTGGTGTGAAAAGTGGAGACGGTGGTGATAATAGTGGAGACGGTGGTGATATATATGTGGAAAAATGGTGGTGATAATAGTGGAGACGGTGGTGATAAATAGTGGAGATGGTGGTGATAGTAGTGGAGACGGTGGTGATAATAGTGGAGATGGTGGTGTAGTGAGACGGTGGTGATAATAGTGGAGACTGTGTGATAGTAGTGGAGACGTGGTGTAATAGTGGAGATGGTGGTGATAGTAGTGGAGACGGTGGTGATAATAATGGAGACGGTGGTGATAATAGTGGAGACACTGGTGATAGTAGTGGAGACGGTGGTGATAGTAGTGGAGACGGTGGTGATAATAGTGGAGACACTGGTGATAGTAGTGGAGACGGTGGTGATAATAGTGGAGACACTGGTGATAGTAGTGGAGACGGTGGTGATAATAGTGGAGACACTGGTGATAGTAGTGGAGACGGTGGTGATAATAGTGGAGACGGTGGTGAAAATGGCGCTGTGTAGCGATAGTTGTTAGATACGATTTTGTTCGGATTTTCAAGCTGGTGAGGGTTACCTACCCAGGATAACCCAACATAATGCGTCACTGAGGACTGTCAGTCTTATTTCCATTGTGGTCATTTAATCTTGTACACCAGGATGCGACCCATAACAGTCTACTAACACCCAGGTACCTACTTACTGCTAGGTGAACAGGGGCAGCAGGTGTACGCAAACATGACCAACGTTTTCACTCGTGCCGGGGATCCAACTACGGACACTTAGTGTATGAGCCGAGTGTACTGTCAACCGAGTTACAGGGTGGTTGTAAAAGGTGGGTAGTGATGGTTACGGGAGGTTTGTATTAATGGTTGCTGAGTGTGTGGTGATAGTGATGGTTGAGGTGTGTTGGTAACTGCTGGTGTCTATGGTGATAATATTGTGACGAGTGTGTGGCAGGGCTGCAGCCTCGTACTAGCATTCTTATTTTTGTTCATTCATATTATTTGTCTGAGCTACTAATATTTTCTTTCAAAAGCGCATCTTTTGTATGACTGTTCTTTAGTTTAATATTAATGATTCATATAAAATCATAACATCAACCAATCAAGACTTGACAACTCGTGGATTGCATTGATTTGTTCAGTATTGGCGGTATTGCCTCTTTGACAGATTTTTAACTTTACTCGTTTTCCATCAGACATCCGTAGAATACTTTCTGTAGCCAGCTGAACGTGTGACCTAATTACCAGATTGCAAGACGTTTCACTATGTAATCTGGAAGGTTACGGTTGGTCTGTTAGGAATGTTACGCCGGCAGGTGCTGTGCTGCCAGACGCACAACATCGTGCGTCCGGCAGGCGGGCGAGAGTCACATGCCAGACACCTATATATACACGTTGAGTGTACACGAGTCTCAGTCGATTACAAGATTTCTTTATAAAGTAACGTGCATCGAAGGAAGTCAAGTGATTGGTAGACAGTATTAAATTCATATTATTAAAGTCTGCTGGCAGTGAAATATCGGCGTTCCTACAATTAAAACCTTTTTCAACTAATTCTTAAATTTGACTTAGCGCTCAGCGGACTGTCATATGCCGTCTGAATATTAATAGTGAAGGTGCCAACCTTCACCCATTTCTCTGCTCAAATATTACTAAAAAACTGGAATAATTTTTACTAAATACAAAATTGACCATTGAAACGAGATCAGTATTCCTCGCAGTCATAATTGACAGCTTGTGACCTCAGGAACGACCACCACAAATTGTAGAAGGGTTGAGACTTGAGCAAAGCCGGTGGATAAAGATAGGCGAGCATTGTTACATTGTTCAGGTGTCAGTCAAGATAAACCAGCACTATGATGCAAGTAAGCACAATGTACGCCCAATCTCTGGAGCGTCAGTTAGTATCAAGACGTTCACAACTGATCCACAACCTCTCTCGCTCCAGCTGTGGCCAGGTGGAACCGATGCGACAGGTTGCAGACGCCCCAACTTTGGACCCATTACCCCCTCGGCCACCACCTCACAGCAAACAAGAGGGATTACACGGTAGTGAAGTTGACCCCAAGGAGTGTACGGACCGTCTGTGTCGTCTGCCGTCGCAACATCGAGGAGGACATATGTTAGGGTCACCAAGACGACACAATGCTACGGCGACGGCTGTGTCCGCCGCTCGTCTCACTCAGTCCACGGGCAACCTCACTGTCCAGTCCGACCTCTCACTCCTGAGGAAGAAAGAGGATCATGCTTTATCCCTCTCAGCTCCACATTCTCCTGTTATGGACAAAAAAGCTGCGAAAAAGGCCAAGGAGAAGCAAGAAAAGGAAGCCAAAAAGATGCCTTCCAACTTCATGCTGCTGACACCATGGTTCACCAGGCAGAACTCTGAGAAACTCCTGTCACAGGTCCGCTCGGGAGACATCCTGGAATTTAATATTAAATTCCACCACCACTGGGGCATCGCCATCGTTCACAAGAACAAAAGTAAGTGCCTATTCTACTATTCTATGTTACAGATTTATATTTTCGTAGTTATAAGAGCTAGATTAGCACGTCAATCTGGAGTAATTCAGTGGTAGAGTGGTCGGCTCACAGAATAAGAACCCGGGTTCAATATTGGGTGTGTCAAGATTCTTGATACTTGGGCAAGTTTCCGTATGCCTCTTGCCTCTGCTCCCTTACCTGTATGTGGGTTTTAGCGGATTCTTGTTGCATGTAGGGGGCTGTAGTATGGTTTAAATGAGCTGAGGTAGAATAGCGTCTCAGCTTGCAAATAAAACTTTGTAAAACAATACTTCTAGTCCTGTATGTTGTTTAGCTTGTTTAATACATCCCATACTTTTATCACACTCTTAATGAGAGAACCAGGTGTATGAAACAAGAAGTTTTATAGGGCTTGTAAGAGTTTTATTCATTACTGCATTCTTTGATATTCTCATTTCTTACTAGTAAGGCTGCATTTGTTGCACCTCCCTAGCAAAGAATTATAGCAACTATGTTGAATTAGGAAAAATACTTAACAACTGGGCTTCTACGTTGTAATAATATCTTTATTTACTAAAAGTACTTGTACATATTGTACAGGCCTATCTGACATCAATGACATACAACTATATAGAAAGCCCCATGTTATACAGAGCATTTCGGGCAAATTAAATTAATTTTGTTCCAGGATGCGACCCACACCAGTCGACTAACTGCCAGGTACCCATCTGTAAAATTAATTGCCATCCTAATGGCACGAAAGTTAACTTACGTGAATAGGCTTGACTTCTTTATTATTGATTCTCTCACCATTGATGCACCTTAACAACATGCTCATTGGAGAAGCCAGGTATATATATTAAAAAATCAGAGTAAAATTAATTGATGTAGATTTCTCATGGATTCCTTCACACGCACTGAATTACTACTACATGATAAGGCTGATAAATTAGTTTAAGGACCCTGAAGGAAGATGAATTAACTTATTAGGAGAAAAATTAATGATGATGTGAATCTCCTAAGAATACAGTTAGAAACCTAACTAGATCTAACATTCACTTTGATAAACATATACAGACGATAGTCAAATTAAATGGAAATTATGTGGCGAGCCATATGGTCACATACTTGAACACTGTATATGGTGTCTTCTTACTGAAGAATCTAGAGATAGTATAATAAACTATATGATATCTCAGGCAGTGGCGCAGCCAGAATCTCAATCTGGAGAGGATGAGGGGAAGGGGAACTGCTGAGTTAAGATATCAATCTGCGGGGCTCAAAAATCATGTGAAAAGAGTGAAAGAAATCGTTAAAAAAAAAAAAAACACGATTTTCAGTATGCATGGGAAATTTCTTAAACTATCGTGCTTTCGTCGTCACTGGTCAGTATAATAGTAAAAACTAGTCATGAATTGAAAAAACAAAACATAAGTGTGTTTGCATCTGGAGCTCCCCCCCCCCCGCACCTCCGTGACTGTGCCACTGTCTCGAGGTATCTTATGAATGACAATAAGATACGAGACAGTTTTATATAAATATCCTCAGTTTGCTTGTAATATGACATATAGGCTGCCATTATATGTATCCATATATACTTCTGTTAATTCTTTTGGGGCTTTGTTCCTATGCGTTTTGTTCATCTATATATTCTTGCACTACAGTCTTCAGGATTTATATTTGATACACAATAAACTAGCCGCTTTGGCTGCAAAATCTAATCTTCAGTGGTGGACCAAATATACTCTGTGACCCCCGTCTCGACTGTCCGCCTCCCTCATCCCTCCAACCGTCCCCAACCATCCCTCTCAACTCACTAGACCCCCCTGGCATCCATTCCCCACCTACCTACTCACCTACCCCCTCCCTCTCACTTTCCGTCCTCTGCTTCCGCACACCCTCCCACCCCTGCTAAACCATCCCACCCTCACTCCCTCCCTGCTTGACCCTCCACCCTCCTACTTCGCTTGTGCCCCCCTCCCCTCACTTTAACTGTCTGCTTCCTAATCGCTTGCTTCCTTATACAGTTTAATTTCACCTTTACGTACCCTCTTCCATCGTATCTTCCTCTCCAGCATCTTTATACATTCCTCCGAGATAAAATAAGGTCCCCTTTCCCCTGAATCATCATAGCCCGCTCCCCATCCCTCTACAGTTTACCACTACCGTAAGTTCCCTTATCACACTCTTCCATCTTCCATGCCTCCCTTTCTAGTTTTTCTACACACTTTTCCTGCTTCTAACATGTTACCTTAATTAAGCCTGGCGCAACACATACAACTCTACCTTACTCCTCGCCTACCCGTCGCTCCTCTCCCTCTGCTATACTTCACAACTTAGTAAGTTTATTCAGGTATACACAAATACAGTTACATAGAATTATCATACATAGCAGCATATGTGTAGAGAACTTCCTTCTCTTACATCCTAGCACACTTTCCCACTTGCTCAGGCTGTGTGATGGAATAACAAAATGTAGAAATCTTTTATTCTCACCACACAACTCAGAATTATGTAGCTGCACATTGAGGATGTACCTAATTTTGTTAAAATAATCCCAGCTCTTATATCCCCAACCTCTTCTCTTTCCCCCACCTCCCCTATATCTCCCCCTCCCTTTCCCACAGTTTCTAAACACTTTCCCACCTCCCCCTCCCTCTGCTTCCAAACACACCTTTCACTCTAGTTCATACGCCTTCCTGCCTGTGCCTTCCTGTTATTAAAATGATTCACACAATATTTAAGATTCCAGTCTGTATACATTTTAAGTCTCATTATTCACACACTATGTAGTGTGCAGCTCTTGAAGAAAGATAATAATTTTCAGTGCACCAATTTAATAATGAGAGTTAAATTCTTTGAAATAATAAACTTTGTGAATTTTTTTCTAGTATGTATCAACATTTTTCCCAATTAATAACCCGATATGATGTTTATACACTCAGAGCCAAGCTTAGCCACTCTGGAGTTGGCACATCTTGTGCGGGATAAGGACGGGCGCCAGAGAGCAGTCCGGCAGCCACTCAAAGACTACTGGCATGAAGGGGTCACAGCCAGGGTCAACAATTCCAGAGACGTTCATAAGCCTCCCCTTGCCGCGGGCGAGGTTACCTCAGCAGCCCTCAAGGTGAGCAGGTGACCCTGCTTAGTGGCAGGTTGCTTTCTCTGCTGATTTGAGGTCTATCATTAATATCATTTACCTCCAGAGGAGGCATCCCGACACTGGTGAAGGACTCTTGATCCAAGGAATTGGAACCACTCTCCCAATTGGATCAAACCTAATTACCTTCCACTCCCCAGGCGCTGTATGACTCCTGAGGGTTGAACGCTTCCCCATAAATATAATAATAATAATATAATGCCAGTTATGGTTGGTTGAATCAACATAACGATGATTTATTTTTATTTTAATATTTTATATTAGCCTTTTCGTTATAGTAAAGATAAGGCAGGTTTGTTTGTTACCAAAACACCCAAACTATATACATTTAATGCATTTTAAGTGGTAAGTTTAATGTGTTTTCTTGGGGTGATCATTGATATTGGACAATTTTGGTGTGAACAGCTGATTGTGCAGCCTTACCGCGTGTGGCAGAACTCAGAACAGATGGTTGTATCGTGTCGGTATGGTGATGGGCAGCGAGCACGCCAGCTGAGCGACGCTGCCAGGTGGGTCGCCCAGCTACCTCCTGATCCTCTTTTCTTTGTAGACACTACTTCTCGCCATTTTCCGGCCTTCGTTTGATTGTAAACATTAATTTCCGCCATTTCCTGGGTTCCCTTTGCAAACAACACTTCCCGCCATGTTCAGGCTCTTTTGTTTGTAAATTCTACCTCCTGCCATTGTCCGGCTACTTTGTTTGTACATCCTACTTCCTGCCCACATCAAGGAAGGTATCTTAACGCCAGTGAGGGGCTCTTGATCCAACGAACTGGACCTAACCTTTCCTTCCTTGGATCGATCCTGAGTGCTTCAATTCCACAGAGCGCTATATGATCCCTATGGGCTTACAGATCTCTCTAGGAGTATAACAATCTGTTCCCCAGCCATTTTCAGAGTTTTCTTTGTATGTAAACACAACATCCGCAATTTTGGGCTACATTTTTTGTAAACACATCCCATCATTTTCTAGCTTTTCCTCGTTTGTAAACCCTACTTCCCACTATTTTCTGCCACCATTGGGTAATTACACAGCTATCTTGTAGTGTGTTAACCTGTTTATAATCTGAGGAGCAAAGCTATGCTCCTGGTGGCCAGTGTTTTTGTTTTATTTTGATTTTTCAAAATTTGCGGATGTTTTAGCACGCTACCAATCTCATTCCACCTCTTACCACTGTCTGTGAAGAAATATTTACTAGTATTCTTTCAGTATAACTGTTAATGTACTTTCTATCTGTGGCTTATTGTTCTCCCTGTTGATGGTGCTAAGAAGTCCTCATCTATCTTCCAGTATCCTTTTATAATCTTACTAAAAGTTATGTAATCTTGTGTCTTTTTATGACTACCATTCAGATAATTTTCAGGGTCTTCAGTCATGGTAATGCATATTTTTAATTTTGGATATATATATATATATATATATATATATATATATATATATATATATATATAAATATATATATATATATATATATATAATATATAATTTCCCCCAACAAGTCGGCTGTCTCCCACCGAGGCAGGGTGACCCAAAAAAGAAAAAATCCCCAAAAAGAAAATACTTTCACCATCATTCAACACTTTCACCTCGCTCACACATAATCACTGTTTTTGCAGAGGTGCTCAGAACACAACAGTTTAGAAGCATATACGTATAAAGATACACAACATATCCCTCCAAACTGCTAATATCCCGAAACCCCTCCTTTAGAGTGCAGGCATTGTACTTCCCATTTCCAGGACTCAAGTCCGGCTATATAAAAATAACCGGTTTCCCTGAATCCCTTCACTAAATATTACCCTGCTCACACTCCTACAGATCGTCAGGTCCCAAATACCATTCGTCTCCATTCACTCCTATCGAACACGCTCATGCACGCCTGCTGGAAGTCCAAGCCCCTCGCCCATAAAACCTCCCTTACCCCTTCCTCCCAACCTTTTCGAGGACGACCCCTACCCCGTCTTCCTTCTCCTACCAATTTAAATGCTCTCCATGTCATTCTACTTTGATCCATTCTTTCTAAATGACCAAACCACCTCAACAACCCCTCTTCAGTCCTCTGACTAATACTTTTATTAACTCCACACCACCTAATTTCCTCCGAATTTTCTGCATAATATTTACACCACACATTGCCCTTAGACAGGACATCTCCACTGCCTCCAACCGTCTCCTTGCTGCTGCATTCACAACCCTAGATTCACACCCATATAAGAGTGTTGGTACTACTATACTTTCATACATTCCCTTCTTTGCCTCCATAGATAACGTTTTTTGACTTCACATGTACCTCAACGCACCACTCACCTTTTTTCCCCTCATCAATTCTATGATTAACCTCATCCTTCATAAATCCATCCGCCGACATGTCAACTCCCAAGTATCTGAAAACATTCACTTCTTCCATACTCCTCCTTCCCAATTTGATACCCAATTTTTCTTTATCTAAATCATTTGTTACCCTCATCACCTTACTCTTTTTCTATGTTCACTTTCAACTTTCTACCTTTACACACACTCCCAAACTCATCCACTAACCTTTGCAATTTTTCTTTAGAATCTCCCATAAGCACAGTATCATCAGCAAAAAGTAACTGTGTCAATTCCCATTTTGTATTTGATTCCCCATAATTTAATCCCACCCCTCTCCCGAACACCCTAGCATTTACTTCTTTTACAACCCCATCTATAAATATATTAAATATATAATATATTAATATGTATTAAATATATAATATGTAATATAATATATATATATATATATATATATATATATATATATATATATATATATATATATATATATATATATATATATATTATATATATAATGTCATGCCAAATAGGTAAAATTGGTCAATTAGCAATAATTCATTTAAAATTAAGTCCTTTCTAAAATTTTCTCTTGTACATTTAAATATATACTTTTTTATTTATGTTAATGTAAAAATTAATAATTTTGTCCCAAAAGAACCATAGAAAACTTACCTAACCTTATTGTAAAAAGCTAAATTTAATTTAGCCTAATCCAACTAAATATATTTTATATAAATTTACAATAATTTAATAAACACAGTGAAATATAATTTTCTTTGTTAGGTTCAGAATGATTTTTGCGAAATTACTGCATATACAAAATTTTGCTTGCCTTATTCAGCAAGAGGAGCATTGCTATTTAAGCCAAAATGGCAAGTTTTACCTATTCAGCACGACACGTATATAAAGTGGAACCTTAGTTTTTGTTTGCCCTGGTTTTCGTCGAATTCGGTTTCCGATGACTTTTTTCATCAAATTTTTGTCCCAGTTTTCGTTCATCACATCGGTTTTCGTTAAGTAGACAGTGGTCCGCTGTACCAAACATGTCCGTCAGCACCCACACAGAGCATCCCACGCGTTGTGAGTCAGTCTTGCTTTGTTTCTCGTCAATAGTTGGTGGTAGAGGGGCGGTAGTGATGGTGGTAGAAGATGGTAGTGATGGTGGTAGAGGGTGGTAGTGATGATGGTAGAGGGTGGTATTGGTTGTGAATGTGGTAGTAGGTGGTAGTGGTTGTGAGGGTGGTAGTGATTGTGATGGTGGTAGTGGTTGTGATGGTGGTAGTGGTTGTGATGGTGGTTGTGAGGGTGGTAGTGATGGTGGTAGAGATAGCCTCTCCTCGCCGTCTTCCATACACCAACAATAAAGGTAAAAGTGATGTTAATTAAATGTTCATTTATCCATTTCATTAGTCCATTACATTTCTCATTGTTTTCTCTATGTAAAACTATAATTATTCTCTATAAAATGTAATGTTTGTTAATACTTTTGGGTGTCTAAACGGATTAATTAGATTTGTATTATTTCTTGTGTGAAATATTGCTTCAGTTTTCATCGAATTCGGTTTTCGTCAGACTTTCTGGAACAAATTAATGATGAAAACCGAGGTTCCACTGTATATCAAAACAACCACAGGGAAAGTTGAATATTGTATCGCTTGTTCACGATTTTTGCACACACACACACACACACACACACACACACACACACACACACACACACTCTCTCTCTATCTATCTCTCTCTCTCTCTCTCTCTCTCTCTCTCTCTCTCTCTCTCTCTCTCTCTCTTTCTCTCTGCATATACCATATATTTACCTGTTTTCTTAATATTGTAAATTCTTTTGCATAGAAAACTATTTTTGTTTATGCCGGTGTAAAAGAACAGTTTATTTGCTGAACATAGCCACAGGGCGTTAACTACCTTCTTCACTCTCCCACGAGCATCCTTCCTAGTAACCAGATAACACAACCCACTAATAAACCTTCCCCATCACTTCGAAGATAACTAGCATCTAACACCATAACTTACTGTATTTATAAAAATGCGCCCATCATTGCAGATGACAAGGCATGTGAGCTTGTCATTTGCACCAACCATCCCTCGTTACAGGGAGTGTTTTAAAGCAGGTGAAGACTTTATGATCCAAGGAATTGACCTATCATCTCCTTCCTTGGATAGAACCTGATTACCTCACACTCCTCACGTGCAGTAGGTAACCTTGCAGGTTATTGCACTGCCCACTGAGTTTAGTAATAATAAAAGCACCCACCACCATCTATGACTTAACACACATTCTCACCTTTCTACTATTGATGTACCCACAGGTGGGGATCACTGAGCAGGTGCGTGGGTCTCTGGCTCACCCTCACCTCCTCCACACATACCTCTCCTACTGGATCCCCAGGACCACTCAGGAAGAGAACAGTCTCCGTCACTTTCTGAGCAGCGAGCACCTGGCCTAGTATGGCACCACCACTTGTATTAAACATTTTTATTTGTAAAGGGAAAGGTGTTATGAAGGTGTAGATATTTTTTTTATGCAAGAATTTATTTGCAATTATTGTACAGATAGATTATATTTTGATTTATTGTGTGTAATCTATAAATATACAAGAAAAATGTCTTCTGAAGAAGCCTATCAAATGAAAATATTTTTTACATTTGATTGGATTTATTGTGAATGGGATACTTCTAGTCTTTGTATTTTTTCAAAAAATGAAAATGATAAACTTTGTTGAAAAATAATAAAAATATGGACAATTGTACTTCCATCAACAAATTATTTATGATGGGAGTAATACAGATATTTCCAAGTTTATGGTTGATCATTTTGTAAATAGAAAATTTATTATGCTTATTATACATTGTACCTAAATTAGGAATTAGAGAACAACAATGGGTCTTGAGTCACACACACTGTATAGAACTGTATTCTGTAGTTTTCTGGTTAGTCTTCAGCTCTTGACTCGTGTTCAAATTCTGTTGAGAAACTATGGGTTTGAGAGTAAGCCGTGAGTGAAAAAGTGGAATTGGAGTAACTTGACCAGTGCCTGGTGTTGCAAGTAACTTGACCAGTGCCTGGTGTTGCAAGTAACTTGACCAGTGCCAGGGGTTAGAAGTGAAGATGATTCAGGCTGCCATCAGCCTTTTCTCTACCACCAGGAAAGTTATGACACACAAAATGGCTTACACAGGTTATGTACAAAAGGCAAAACAATTGAGATTGTATGAAGAAAACCATAAATCTTTTTTTGTTGTTGTCTGAAGTCAGAGGAATATGGACAAAGTAAAACTTTTGGATGTTAGCAGCCTGTCTTCACCTGTTTGTGTATTAGGTTTCAGCTTACAAGGCTTCATTTTAGCTGAGCATCGCTAGTCGAGACTATTTTAAGCCCTAAAATACAGATTAAAAATTAATCACAATATATACACCGTTATAGACATTTGGAAGGTCTGTGCAGTTGAAGATAATATATGTTTAAAGAATTTCGTTTTGCTATTCTAGTTGCAGTAATGTCATACACTCTTATCTCACCATGCTCTGACACTGAAAAATTATTTCTCTCGAGCTAAAAATGTTTTATCATTCCTGAATCTTGAGCTTCTCTGAGTACAATTTTCTCTGAGTGAAAGAGCATCAATTTTGCTACTAGGCTTTACTTGCCACTTTATATGATTATATATATATATATATATATATATATATATATATATATATATAATATATATATATATATATATATATATATAATATTATTGATGTCATTAGTTATTGACTTGAATTTTTTTTTTTTTTTTTTACTTCTGTGCTTGTAATATGTTAATGTGAAGAGCATTCGCTGTAATGTTAGGAGTATTATAAGGTGATTTCATAACCACTGACTACCTGTGTTGTCTTGCGCACTTGGATGTCATGAGCATCGATTGCCTACCTATTTTGTCAGATACATACTGTGCTTGTTTTGAATAAGCATGAACTAATGTTGAACTGTATGTGCACACATACATATTTGTTAGCCTCATATTTAGGAAGACAGCAGTTCAGCAGTTCCTATACTATTAATTAGTAGCGTACTGATGACTTGCTACTGACTTGACAAGTCTGTTACCAAGGGTGGCATTTCTACATTGCATCAACTTTACTCACCATCATCTGTAAATTATTACCATTTTCTTTGGTTGTCACATGTAAATTGAGTCATTTTTCTCATGTCACTTGTAAATTGTCATTATCTCGGCTAATCACATGTCACTTGTACATTCCCTGTCATTTGTATATTGCGTCATGTATCTTACTGCATCACTTTAAAACTACGCTATTTTCTGTATGCTACATGTAAAGTGTGTAATTTTGTGTGCCACTTGTGAAATATGTCACCATAATCGTGACAGTGTCACTTTTCCATGTGGTTTGACAAGGACTTTGCTCTCCTAGACTCTGCTTTCCCTATTACCTTTGCCTCCTCATTCCAGTCTTGGTGTTGTTCCTCGTACCTGAGTAAGGACTCATCAGAACCTACCTGCTTTCTCCTTAATCAAATTAAATATTTCTACAAGGTGCTTACTTGTGGGACAGTCATTCAGGTAATCAGTTCCAGTGTTATCGTGAAAGTGGAAGTTACAAGAACTTGCTATTTCAGTATGTTAGGCCATGTGGTACATGAAGTCCTTAGGAATTTTCCCAGGTTACAGCCTAAGGGAGGAAGAGGTTAGAAGTTCGCAGGTAAATACCCTGCTCGGGCCTTAAGCTTATAATTTTAGTTAGGTCCGTATCTCAGGGATACAGCTTCTTTCCTCCTCTTCTCTTAAATGTTTTGTCCTGAGAGACATGCCTTGCCAACAATGACTTTTCCTACTAGGTTCTGATAGTTGGGCCCTTTTCCATTGAGGAATGTGGTGGGTAGGACTTAATTATATACTTCATATTTTGAAAAGTTTAAAAGTACTTGTTAATCATTAGACTTAGTGCAGGAACAGTTGAACCTCCAGATTGTTTAGTTAATGTAACATTACAGTATTAAGAGCCTCCACATATTATAAGTCTAGTTTAAAGACTTAAAACAAGTTTCTTTTAAAGGGTATTTACAAGTATTTCATAAAATATTTACCATTTAAATATGTTTCACATTAAATATTAGTTCTCAAAAGAAATATTTTTATAGATTTGGTCAGTGCCAGATTTTGTAGTAATATAATTTTTTATGACAGTTGGGATAACTGTACTGCACTTTGTTTCTCACTGTGAAACATTTCAGTAAAGAGTTTATTTCCCAGTAAAACGAGACATGCCATCAGACTTGCCTCATCCTTGTTTTGTCTCCCTCTGCAGAAAAAGTTAGTACATATATATTGTATCTAAAATACTGAAAGGTTGAATTCAACTTGATCAATGACCACTTTTTTGTTTTATTATTATACAGGAGTTATGTTTAAAATGCACCTGTGAGTCAGACTGTTTACCCAGGAGGTGATTAGTTCTGAAAGGCAACAGATTTCAGCAGCTGAAGAAAACCACACTAGGGAATCATGGGATGACCAAGTACTAGTCCAGACCAGACTGACTTGTTAATTGAATTGTTTACTTGTTATATTATATGAATTTCAGTGTTAATTCTTTGGCACTGTGATGTAGCAGTGGTCTTTAGTTTGTAAGGAAAACTTGTGTAAATAAACATTATTATATAAGAGTATATTACGTTAGCAGTGTTTTGTATCCATGACCAATGATCTCTTTTATGTAGACGCTCCACATTGGTCTGAACCTCAATGGTTACTCTTGTCTATGCATGTAAATATTAGCTCTGTGATAACTAATGATATATTAAGGTAACAACCACACAGCCTCAGTCTCCAACCACGACTGTACATTCCGCGCAGTTCACTTCCACATCAGCTGCTAACAACGCAAGTATTGACAGCAGCATTTCCAAGTGATTCTTGCGATATGTTTCCCATATTTGACTGGTAGCACTACTGTCAGCCTTGACTGTGACATCGTCTTCAAGTGCTGTAGTGTTGTTAACCATCCTTGACACCTGGTGCTACTCTGACCCACACAACACTTACGCTGTTTACTACATTTCATAGCTGGTGCTTCTGCCAACTTTGATTTTAACAGCAATTCAGAGTACTTCTGAGGCTGTTATCTGCTTTGATAGTTGATAGGACCATCACTCTTTTTGTTTTAATTTGTAATGACGCGTGTTATCTGTTGCTAGATCCTGATGCATGGTTGCAGTGCAACCTTAAGTATGGGTGCTTGTTGAGGAGTGAATGTTGCTGAATGTTGAGGTGAGTAAATGTTCCTGAATGTTGAGATGAGTAAATGTTCCTGAATGTTGAGGTGAGTATATGTTTCTGAATGCTGAAGTGAGTAAATGTTCCTGATTGTTATGGTGAATAAATGTTCCTGATTGTTACGGTGAGTAAATGCCTGATTATTAAGGTGACAAAATGTTCCTGATTGTTACGGTGAGTAAATGTTCCTGATTGTTAAGGTGACAAAATGTTCCTGATTGTTAAGGTGAGTAAATGTTCCTGATTTTTATTAAGGTGAGTAAATGTTCCTGATTCTCAAGGTGAGTAAATGTTCCTAATTATTAAGGTGAGTAAATGTTCCTGATTGTTAGGGTGAGTAAAGGCACCACAAAATCGTTACATATTCAGAGTTTGGCCAATCATAAGATATAAAATTTTTTTTTTTCAGTTTGGCAATGTAGTGTAAGTTTCTTAGTTTCATTTATATGATCTTCTGTTGACAATATTTTTTTAAATAATAACTCTTAGATGTCCTACTCTGATGCTCTCAGTACTTTTTCACGTTGTATTTTTCCTGTGGCCTTACGTCACTCTCCCATTTCGATTACACGGCATTAATTTACTTTAAATGTATCACCTAGTTGTGGTTGCATTGGTCGAGTCATAGCTCCTGGCCCCGCCTCTTCTGTGTGTGTGTGTGTGTGTGTGTGTGTGTGTGTGTGTGTGTGTGTGTGTGTGTGGTGTCAAGCATGGTTCAGCAGGCCTGCGCCCACAGTAGTGCATCCAGGATTTCATTGTGTAGGGAAGGGGAGGGGGGTGATTAAGATACTGGAAACACCAAAGAAATCGTCTTTAATTTAAAAACATGTATATGAAATTTCTTGAACTATCATACTTTTGTGGTCACTACTGTAAAAATTAATAATTAATGGAAAAATATATTGAAAGTATTTGTCTCTGGGCTTCCTAAGTCTTCATTCCACCCCTCCCTCCCTCCCTCCCCCTTCACCAATGATTGTCACGCGTCCTACAACAGTCATCTTCTCTGTTAACATCCTTTATCCACGTGGCAGCTTGTGTATATCTTGCCTGCACTCCTCCCTACCCTGTACTGTGTATGTCTTGCCTCCACTCCTCCCTACCCTGTACTGTGTATATCTTGCCTCCACTCCTCCCTACCCTGTACTGTGTATATCTTGCCTCCACTCCTCCCTACCCTGTACTGTGTATATCTTGCCTGCACTCCTCCCTACCCTGTACTGTGTATGTCTTGCCTCCACTCCTCCCTACCCTGTACTGTGTATGTCTTGCCTCCACTCCTCCCTACCCTGTACTGTGTATATCTTGCCTCCACTCCTCCCTACTCTGTACTGTGTATATATTGCCTGCACTCCTCCCTACCCTGTACTGTGTATGTCTGGCCTCCACTCCTCCCTACCCTGTACTGTGTATGTCTGGCCTCCACTCCTCCCTACCCTGTACTGTGTATGTCTGGCCTCCACTCCTCCCTACCCTGTACTGTGTATGTCTTGCCTCCACTCCTCCCTACCCTGTACTGTGTATATCTTGCCTCCACTCCTCCCTACCCTGTACTGTGTATATCTTGCCTCCACTCCTCCCTACTCTGTACTGTGTATATATTGCCTGCACTCCTCCCTACCCTGTACTGTGTATGTCTGGCCTCCACTCCTCCCTACCCTGTACTGTGTATATCTTGCCTGCACTCCTCCCTACCCTGTACTGTGTATATCTTGCCTGCACTCCTCCCTACCCTGTACTGTGTATATCTTGCCTCCACTCCTCCCTACCCTGTACTGTGTATATCTTGCCTCCACTCCTCCCTACTCTGTACTGTGTATATATTGCCTGCACTCCTCCCTACCCTGTACTGTGTATGTCTGGCCTCCACTCCTCCCTACCCTGTACTGTGTATATCTGCTCCACTCCTCCTACTCTGTACTGTGTATATATTGCCTGCACTCTCCCTACCTGTACTGTGTATGTCTGGCCTCCATCCTCCCACCTGACTGTTATGTCTGGCTCCACTCCTCCCTACCCTGTATATTGTGTTGTTTCCGTACTGTGTTTGTCTGGACTCTCCTACCTGCGTGTAAAGTCTATAGTAGTTTACTGTGTTTTTTGCAGAGTTTTCCTATTTATAAGAATTGTGTTAATTTTTCCATTTTACTGCGGTTGGTGTAAATTCTTATATAGTTTGAGAGTTGCTAGTAAGGTTGTGTCAACATTCTCCTGCTAGCAGGGTTGTGTCAACACTACCCTGCTAGCAAGGTTATGTCAACATTCTCCTGCTAGCAGGGTTGTGTCAACACTACCCTGCTGGCAAGGTTGGGCCAACACTACCCTGCTAGCAAGGTTACGCCGACACCCCTGCTGGCAAGGCTGGGATAACACTAGGTATCATTGCTACACTTGCTCAAACTCTACTCTGTGTATAATTTACATAGTCTACATTATTTTGAAAGGACACGAGTGATGAAAGACAAACGCGTTTACTACCTATAATGGTGTTTGTTTTCTTCCAAATGTAATATTCCGTTGTGCAGTTTCCTCCCAAATATATTTTGTAATAAATCTGAGCTGTTTGTTTTATTGACATTCCCTGTAGCGCTGTCTGACCCCTTAAGGGTTTAGCACTTCTTTATGATTATAATAATTGACATTCCCTTCAAGCGGGATGAAGATTTTCTGATTCGATGAATGGAGCTACCCTCTTCATGAAGCCATCCTGATTACCGCTAATCATGATGCTTTACGTATGATCCGCTGTATAATCCTACGGGTTTAGCGCTTCCCCTTGATTATAATAATAATACGTATGATCCCTACGGACTTAGCGCTTCCCCAGTAATATTACGAAAATTATCTGGACAAACCAAATAGAGTGGGGCTGTGACTGGTGTGCACACGTCCGTTCAAAAATGTTCACACAAACACACACACACACACACACACACACACACACACACACACACACACACCACACACACACACACACACACACACACACACACACACACACACACACACACACACACCCTCAAGGGAGGTTCCTTAAAGCTGGTGAGGGGCTCTTGATCTAGGGAATTGGATCTGTACTCCGGTTCGCTGAATTGAGCCTGAATGCCCCTCAAGGAAGGTTCCTTGATGTTGGTGAGGGGCTCTTGATTTAGGGAATTGGATCTGTGCTCCAGTTCCCCGAATTAAGCCTGAATGCCTTCCATATCCCCCCACCCAGGCGCTGTATAATCCTACGAGTTTACGCTTCCCCCTTGATTATAATAATAATAATGAGCCTGAATGCCTTCCATCTTTCCTTCCCCCACACGTGCGCTGTATAATCCTACGGGTTTAGCTTTCCCCCATGATTATAATTGCAAATAATCACACGAACATTTGATCACACAACTGAGGGTTGTGTCAATATATAATAATCTTTATTTCTATAAGTACATGATACAACTTTCACAGACCATAGCTGCCGTGAATGACATATAAAAAGACCTTCAGTGCTGTATGGCCCATGTGGGTTTAGCGCTTTGTTTTGGTTATTATAATATAGAAAGTCCCTGGTTATGCAGGGCATTTTGGGCAACTCAGGTTAATTTTGTCCTCAGGATGAGACTCGCACCAGTCGGGTAACACCCAGGTATTTACCGCTAGGTGAACAGGGACAGCAGGTGTCTTAAGGAAATATGCCCAGTGTTTCTACCCGTACCTGGGGATCGAACCACAGACAGTGTGTGAACCGAGTGTGAGTTCGTTACGAACTGACCTACAGGACACAAAACCACAGTTCTCTCTTGAGGTGTGGCATGTGATGTCACCGGTTATTGATATCTTGTCAGCCATATTGGACGTGAAACCGTATGAACAACTACGTACACGTTCCGAACATGTACGTGAGATTTCTGTCACCTTAGTCTCTATGATGGTTACTGCTGCGCTGTTGTAGTCTTAAGTCTTTAATGATCACGCTTTGCTTTGTAATAATCTCCTCTTCAATGGGGGCTCCTTGGCGTGGTGAAGAGGCTCTTGGTCTGAGGAATTAGACCTGTCGGTCTTCTTCCTCAGACCGAACCTAATTCCCCCCCAATTCCCCCTTCCCTATCCCATCCTCCCCCTCCTCCCCTTTTCCCTTTCCTCCTCCTCCTCCCCACCCCTCTCTTTTGCCCTTCCTCTTTTTGGCCATTGGAATTTTTCCCACAGGCGCGCTTGTTCCTAGGTAGGGGAAAGGGTACCGGGGTCCATCCCATTTCCCATTCAGTTGAGGTTCTTGGCGGTATCGCTTGGGATGTCCCGATCCCTCTCCGGTATCCCGGGGAGTGGCTTTGGGTGTCTTTCGGGAGACGGGTGTATCTCTGGAAGCCACCTTTCGGATTCCGGGGGTGGTGGCCGAAGGAGCTATGCTTTGTGGCAGATATCCGGCCGCCCTCTCTTTTGTCCACGGAGGTAGCTCGGCAGATGTGAGGTTGCTATCCCGGATTGCTGGTTTACTGGCATGAAGGGTAGGGTATGGCATGGGTTCCATGCTGCATCTGCGCTACTAGCGGTGCTGAGGTCCTCTTGGGCGCAGAGGGAGATTTCTGGCCCTTTCATTCCTCCTGGGAACTATTCCTCCCCGCTCCCCCCTTTTTTTTATTCTTTTTTTTTATTTTTATTTTCTTTTCTTTCTTTTTTTGCTTAAAAACAAAAAGCAAAGGAGTTACCTAACCATGGAGAACCCAATCCATGAACCCACTACCCCTGGGACCCTTCTTGATACTGCACCCCATTCTGACCCTGCCTTGTTTTTTGACCACTCTTCAGACACTCCTGATGCCCCTGTACCTCTTGCTGGTGCTGTTTCCTCACCCGCTTCAGGTACCGGGGCTTCGACTGACTCCTTGGATTTGTCTGACCTCCGCACTCTCCCTCTACGGTATGGCAATTTTCGAATCACCAGCCCGTTTCACGACGGACCAACTCCGTTCCTACTCCTAAATGCCAGCGACAATCTCCTGATGATGTTCCTTCGTTACCTCCTCTACTCAGAAAAGACCCTCTACTCAGAAAAGACCGACACGTCGTGCACTCCCTCTCCACGCTCAGTTTCGGACCACACAATGGACTAAATTCTTTACTATAAAACCGACTTCTGCCTATCTTTCTGACCATAGTATTGGCAAAGCGCTCCTGCGCCATGTTGGTAGAGATATTTCATTTCATGCTCTCAAGAGCAGTATGTGCATCGTCACTGTCCAGAATGCTACCCAAGCTCATGATCTTTCTCTCCTTTCGCATAGCGATACTACTCCTATCACTATTGAAAAACATCTTTCTCTCAATTCTTGTAGTGGTACTGTCGTTCTGCCCCATACAGAATTTCCAGTCATGTGGCAATGACATTCTTGAACAGCTGGAACTCCAGGATCTCCCAATCCTCAAAGTAGACACTTATGTCCTTCCTGCCCGCGGGCAGAGACGTTACCCTTGCAATGTGGTTTGATTAACTTTCGACAGCCGTGAACTCCTGTCCTCTGTTTATGTCGCAGGACATTGGTTACAAGTTCCAAAGGTGATCCCTACACCGCAACAGTGTAGAAATTGCTGGTGTTTTGGTCACCTAGCGAAATATTGCAGATCTATAGCCAAATGCCCAGTCTGTGGTGCCGACGACCATTCTAATACATCTTGCAGTGAACCTCCATCTTGCCTTAATTGTAATGAGGCTCACCCTTCGTACTCTCGCCATTGCCAGGTCTACTTAAATGAGCGTGAAATCCATTGCCTCAAATAGGCAGAAGGTCTCCCTTATGCTATGGCAGTTACTCATCTCCGCCTCCAAGGGAAACTACCCCGTGTTTCTTATTCTCGTGTTTCAAAACGTCCCCCCACTTCTGGGGTCCCATCTTCTGCAGCCTCCTCTGTTGTTACCCCTCCCATAGCCACTCTGGCATCTAATCCTTTTGCTGTCCTTGGCTCTGACGTCCTGACTACAACTCAGTCTGTTCTCACATCTTCGTGTCCTTCCTCACAAGCCCCAATATTGACAAGACCTCGTACGACACCTTATACCAATCGCCCCTTTACTTCTCAGAAGTCCAAAAAATCCCCATTGCTCAAATCTTCTTTGCCCCTTCCTTCCCTTCTTCCACCTCCGCACTTTACCTTTCCAGTCTCTGTGCCTAGTTCTTCCCCTCTCTCTGGCTCTATTACAAGTGTGGAGGTTCACCCTCCTCCTCGTACTATGCCTTCCACCCCCATCCCCTCCCAAGTTTCTCCCTCTTCTGCCACCTCCCAGGCTTCTGCCTTTTCTGTCCCCTCCCACACTTCTCCAGTCCCCTATACTCTTTCGTCCCCCTCTACTTTGGTACAATCCCAATCTTTACTCACCCTCCTCCTTCTACCTCCAATATTGTCTCCCATACATCTTTGAATTCAGAAACACTTGAAGCCATTTCAGAATATATTGCAGAGACTAAACCTTCAATGGACACTGATCCACCTCCTGTTCCTTCTCTTCCCTCTCCTCCATCTCCACAACTCCATTCTTCGCAACGCTTCATTCCTTCGCTGCTTGAACGTCTTCCAATGCCACCACACGTTGACTTTTCTAACCCCTCTAGTCCGTAGGTGCCCTTCCCTAAGGATTCCTGGTATTTTCTTCATTGCCAGTCATGGCCTATTTACAGTGGAATATCTGCGGGGTGAGCTTCAGATGTTGCTTTCCAGGTTTTCCCCTGTTGGTGTTTGCTTACAAGAACCAAAATTACACTCAGCTGTTTTCCAACCTCTCTCAGGCTATAATTTATTGTATTCTTCGGATCCTTTCTCAGATGGGACATTTAATGAAAGTGCTCTTCTACACAATGATATTCCATACTGTCAACTATTTGTCCATACCTCGCTGCATTACACTGCAGCCCGTATCCACTTGAATAAGTGGTTTACAATATGTTCTTTATATCTCTCTCCTCGAGCATTTTCTATCCCAGATTTTGCCTTTCTCGTTTCATCCTTACCACCACCACTTCTGTTACTTGGTGATTTTAACGCCCACCATTTCCTCTGGGGGGGGTCTCATTGTGACTCACGTGGCATCCAGTTGGAGGCTTTTCTCGCCTCTCACCCCCTCCATGTTTTAAATACGGGTACTCCCACCCATTTTGATCCTCGTACTCATACTCTCTCTTGCATCGATCTATCAGTCTGCTCTTCCTCCACTGCACTAGACTTCACCTGATCTGTTCTACCGGACTTACATGATAGCGATCATTTTTTCCAATTATTCTTACTTCTCCTTCATATTCACCACCTTTCCATAGCCCTCGCTGGCAATTTGATCGGGGAAATTGGGACCTTTATTCGCAACTCACTGCTTTTAGTGAGGTTCCTTCTTCATCCTCCCTTGATGAGCTCCCACACCTCTTCTCAACGTCAGTTTATACTGCAGCTTCTCATTCTATACCCCAAACCTCAGGCAGGCATTCTCACAAGTGCGTGCTTTAGTGGTCTCCTGCTTGTGCTCGTGCAGTACGTTTGAAACGTGCTGCATGGGGCAGGTACCAGTACAATAGAACCGATGAGAGACTTCTTGATTTTAAGCAGAAGCATGCGATCGCTCACCTTGTCATCCATGATGCTAAACGCACTTGCTGGCGAGACTATGTTTCCACCATCACCTCTGCTTCCTCTATGAGTGCAGTCTGGATAAAAGTGAGGAAATTGAGTGGTAAATACTCTCCTGACCCCGCTCCTGTTCTACGGGTCGCCGGTATTGATGTAGCAAACCCTCTTGATGTTGCCATTGAAACTGGCACTCATCTGGTCCATATTTCCCGGGGGGCTCCATCTATGCCCCTCGTTTCTTTCCTCAAAGTCTGCCAGAGAGTTAGTACCCTTGAACTTTTCTTCTCTCAGAGAAGAACAGTATAATGTGCCTTTTACACTTCAGGAACTGGAGGCAACGCTCTTAGCTTGCCGATCATCGGCAGCTGGGCCTGACGACATTCATATTCGTATGTTACAACATTTACATCAATCAGCCCTTGCAGTCCTCTTACACCTCTTCAATCTTATTTGGGAACAAGGAGTTCTTCCCCAGCTGTGGAAATCTGCCATTGTTCTCCCTTTCCGCAAGCCGGGTACTACGAGACATGATGCCTCCCACTATCGTCCCATCGCTCTTAATAGTGCAGTTTGCAAAGTGATGGAACGTCTGGTAAATCGACATTTAATGTGGTATTTAGAGACACACAACAGTCTCTCCACTAGTCAATATGGCTTTCGTAAGGGCCGTTCTACCATCGACCCCTTACTATGCTCTGTTCGTAATGCCTTTGCGAATAATCACTCAGTTATTGCCATATTTTTTGACCTTGAGAAGGCATATGACACAACTTGGAGGTATAATATTTTGGCCCAAGCTCACTCCTTAGGCCTCCGAGGCAATCTACCATCCTTCCTTAAAAACTTTTTAACTGACAGACATTTCCGTGTTCGAGTCAATAGTGTGCTTTCCCCGGACTTCGTCCAAGCTGAAGGTGTCCCTCAGGGATGTGTTCTGAGCACAACACTTTTTCTCCTTGCTATAAATGATTTGGCCTCTGTTCTTCCACCCAATATTTGGTCATCACTCTATGTTGATGACTTTGCTATTGCTTGTGCAGGCGCTGACTGTCATCTCATTACAGTCTCTCTCCAGCATGCGGTCGACTGTGTTTCCACTTGGGCCACCATGCATGGGTTTAAATTTTCCAGTACCAAAACTTACCAAATTACTTTCACTAGATGCTCTGTCATCTCCGATCATCCTTTGTATCTCTATGGCTCCTGTATCCCTGAACGTGATACAGTCAGGTTTCTAGGCCTTCTCTTTGACCATAGGTTATCCTGGAAACCTCACATTATCTCTCTGAAGGCAACTTATCACAGCCGGCTGAACCTTCTTAAAACCCTTGCTCATCTTTCCTG